CACCAGTAACATGGGTCCAAGTGTTGGAGGTACGAGTGATATGTTTAAGTCCGGAATTATTACCACAGTTAAATTAGATGGAACAAATTATTTAGAATGGGCACAATCAGCCAAGATAGCCATTGGTGCCCGTGGAAAACTAGGGTACATCACTGGGGAAGAAAAGAAACCTGATATAGATTCTTCTCGGTGGGTACAGGAGAATTACATGGTGATGTCCTGGCTGTGTAATTCTATGTTACCCCACATTGGCAAAAATTTTCTATGGGCTAATACTGCAAAGGAGATTTGGGATGGAGTGACTGAAACCTATTCTCAGAAGTAGAATGTAGCCAGAGCCTATCAATTAAGGAATCAGGTGATTTGTATAAAACAAGGAGATAAACTTCTTGCCATGTATTTCTCCATGATGAAAACCCTTTGGCAAGAGATGGATCACTTTGAAACTATGGTTTGGGAAAGTGTAAATGATGCAGCAACCTATCAGAAGTTGGTAGAGAAGAATATGGTTTTTGAGTTCTTGGTCGGGCTAAACCCTAAATTCTACATTACTAAGCGACATATCTTTTCTAGAGAGAGTGTGACACTTTCTCAAGCCTATGCCTTTGTTTCTGAAGAGGAGAGCAGGAGGAATGTCATGTTGAGAGCCTAGGATTGATCAGTCTGCTATGGTTAGTATAACCAGACCTAAGCCAAATTGAGGCAAGGGAAGCAGTGAGACTAGGAGGGAGGACAAGAAGGACTTGGTGTGTGATTATTGTAAGAAGACTAAGCATACCAGAGAAACTTGTTAGAAGCTCTATCTACACCCCATACCAACTCGGGTCAAGAACAAGAAGGGAAATGCAAATGTGGCAATTACAAGAGACTCTTCGGGACCCCTTACCCAAGCTTATTGGGAGACCATTGCAGTAGCAGCAGTCAAAACCGAATTGGAGAAGTTTGGACAGCTTATGAGTAAGAAGGACTTAGCCAGTTCTAGTTCGTCAAATGGACAGCAAAGTGCAAGAGCCAACCACACCACCTCTTTTGCTCATACAGGTAGTTCATATGCAACTGCAAATTATGCATCCACCTCAGGTAAGGAGGGACCTCCCTGGATTATAGACTAAAGAGCACCTGAGCACATGACTAATATACCTACCCTTTTCAGTTCTTACCAATTGTGCTCTGGTAGAGATAAAGCCACTACAGCAGATGATTCACATGTTCCCATTGTTGGGAAAGGGACAGTTAGAGTAACCAATGATATTACTTTATCTTTGGTCTTACATGTCCCTAGACTTCATACTAACCTTCTTTCTGTTAGTTCTTTGACAAAAAATTTGAATTGTTCAGTGACCTTCCTTCCTGGTAATTGTGTTTTGTAGGATCTAGAGTCAAAGAGGACGATTGGGAGTGGTCATGAGGTGAATGGATGTTAACGTTTTTGAGTCTACATTTTTTTTCTCTAGAGGTTCTCCTCAAGGGGAGAGTCTTGGGGAGGAGAACTCAATCTAATCCTTTTCCTGTTTCTTTTGTGCCACCAGTTTTACCATCAGCACCATCGCCAGTTCCATTACCAAATCCACTACCGGCAACCACAGAGCACTATCAGCGTTGCCAGAAGAGGGTTGACTCCACACATGCTCAACCAGTAGAACCCGCACCACTCTCCATCAGTCCTTCTGAGGCTCCAAATTCGGCAGATATAGTTCCAGGTATTCCCCTTGAGCCTGAGCCTGTTATTTTTTCTAATGATAATGTTCCTATACCTAACACTATTGTTGCAGTCAATCCCATTGACCTTGATCTTCCCATTGCACTTTGCGAAGGGAAGAGAAAGTGTACTGCCCATTGCATCTCACACCATCTTTCCTATAAAGCCTTATCATCCTCCTACCAAGCTTTCCTTTCTTCCCTGGATTCTATGTCTATACCCAAGAATGTTACTAAGGCTCTCTCCAAACCTGAGTGGAAAATAGCTATGCAAGAAGAGATGGAAGCCTTAGTTAAAAACCACACTTGGGAGATAATTGATCTTCCTCCAGACAAGGAGACAATCGGATGTAGATGGGTGTTCAAACACTAGGAAACAAACCCTACCCAGTTGGTTGCACAGTTCAAACACTAGGAAACAAACCTTACAACACTAGGAAAAGCAAGGTTACATTTGATACACTAGGCAATGCCTAGGTGGGCGCCTAAGAGACTAAGCGTTCACCTATTGCCTAGGGTTGCCTTGGCACCTTGAAAATGATCTATAGCTCTAGTTTCTATTCATCTCATTCAAATGGTCCAAATATCAGCTAACTCTCTAGCTGGTGGGCTGGTTAGGTGGGTGTAGGAAGGTTGGATTTGTATTTGGGAGCATCCTTACTAAGATGACTACCTCAATAAATATTTTTGTATTTGACCAACTAGCCTTTCCAATTGGGAAAGTTTTGTGTGTGTGTATCTATTTATTTGATAGTAATATGAAAACAAAATCATTAAAAGAAAAGGTATACAAGCAGTATACAGGCTTTGCAGCCCAAGCAAACCAACACAGCAACACATATAAATTCATATGCCAAATAACAAGAATACTTGATCTATGCCTTCACCCAACCACAGCAAATCCTACCCCTAGCACAAACTCTTAGGAAATCCAGACCCCTGCTACTAAAGCTTGAGAGAACACAAAGAAACAAAAACAAGCCAAGACACATGCTAAGGAATCATGAAACAAAAACAACTGACAGACCCATAACTGCCACTCAACCATCTAAAAAACCAACCTCCCCACTATCCTTAAAAAAAGAACTATGACTTGTAAAAATAAACAGCTTCCCAAAAACCAATTCTAAGACATTAACCAAGTCATCCATGGGATCATGTTCAAACAAAACTCTGGACTCATTTAAATTTTCAGAACTGTTAGTCCACTCCCTTGCTTCAAGCTCCACAAATATTTTTCTAGCAAATTCCTCGCCACCCAAAAAGAATAACCCCAAACTTTTGCTCACTCGACATCGTAATGAGCCACCTTCTTAATATCTGATTTTTTTTCTTTGCCTGATGCACCACTTCAATCTGGATCATGGGTTCAGATTTAGAACACTTCCTTGAATCTATCATGTTTTATGAACATAAACTATTGTCTACAACTGAATTAGCAGTCAAGCCCACTCCTTCAGTTAGAATCCTCTTAGTCCCTATTTCAAAGCTTTTCCCAACATCAGCCACTATCAACATTTCTGCCACAACATCATTCAATGTAGAACCTCGATAATTGAGAACAGGCAACCATCAAGCCTAAGAAATTTGAGAATTTCTTTAAACACCCTTCCTCTTAAAGACACTTTTAGAAGGCATACATGGACCAACTCCTCATAAACTGGTTCTCAATCAAAAAGAAGGCCTTCGTAATATTGACTAGCCAGACATTTTTAGGGGTCTTAAACATTTATAAAAGAGCCTTGATTTTCAGACCTGGTATGATCCAAATCCACACCCACCCTTCCAAATTACAACTTCAAAACTCTACATTCATCAGCTTATTTTTCCCATAAATTCCATCTCAGACATCTTACCAAAACTCCCTACATCCAATCTTTTCCACCACATCCATCCTCTTAGACCACCCTTAACCCCTTCCATTGTTGTCTACGATACCATATCATCTTGAACCCAACCATCTTCTCTTCCTGTCACTGGCTATCCCAACAAGCACAACTCCAAACTCCTCTCTACCATTGATAACAATTAGTCACCCCTCATCTCAGAAACCCCAATATCTTCCATCGGTAGAAAAAGGATCAGAAGAAGTCAATCCAACTTTTAATCAAACCAAAACTCCGCCTCCCTCATCAAACCCCTTAAGAAACCAAGACAAGGCATCAACTTCAACATTAAATCCTTTGCCAGGATAGACCCCTTGAGGAAGTATTGTTGATGATTCAGAATTCAGTGCCACTCCATCTCTACCAAGTGACACTTCTTCAAAACCACCATCAGATCTGCTTCCTTCTAGACAGGCACCCTTAATGACACCATGCCTCCAATTTCCTCCTTCAACCTCCACCTCTGTTTCTCAAGAGGTTAACTCTAAAGTCTAAACCCTTACAGTAATGTTTGACTGACTTTACATCTTTATCTATTAGGGGGTCTTACATGCTACTAGGCCCTCCCCCACCCACTCTTTCCTGCTCTTACATCCAAGGTGATTCAATTCAAAAACACTACCATCCTTATTAATGATACCTGCATTCCCATGTTGCCTCCTTTCACCAACAAACACAAAAACCACCTCCAACCTCACATCACAGGCCACATCAGGCAACTAGAATTATCCTCCCTTTTGATAGCCCTGACAAGTTGACCCCATTCTTCAAAGGTACACAATCCCAAGTGCCAAAGAGAGACCTATAAATTGGGTTTTCCTAAGACTTCTACAGAGACCCTACTTGGCTGGAACGTTGATGGGCTGAATAAAAAGGGCAAAGTAGCTTGGCGTTTAATCCCAACAGGCATCGTTTGGACTATTTGGGTCTAAAGGAACCTTAGAATATTTGAGAATACTAAGTTTCTAGATAATAAATCCTTAGGAAAGTGGTGGCAAAGGCTTTCTTTTGGCTCTCAGTGCACAAAGAATTTCAGTTTCAGAATATCCAAGCCCCTCTCTTATTTGTTCCTAGTAAGTAGGAAGTAGGAACATGTTCAAGATGTAATTGGTTTTCATAAGTACCTAGAAGATTTTATTTTTGTACAGTTCCTCACTGTAAATGGGTGGCTTCCTCCATCCTAGCCTTACATTTTCAGAATAATGAAACACAGCATATATTACCTTCTCCCAAGAATCAATTCAATTTCTCAATACCTTGTATCAAATAAACAACACTACAGTACAATGCTAATCTTTTAAAAATTTTGTTAGCAATATATTCATGAAAAACCATGCTAACAATCCAAAATAACTTCTCTATTGAAACAAAGACTAATGGCACTAACACAATCAACTTCGATAAGAAGCAACTTACAATTATTGGGGATAACCTTGGATAATGAACTTTTGAAACCCTAGAGCTTCTCTAGTCTCTACACTTTTATTGACATCAAATCAAATATCTAATCAATAGACACCACATAAGAAATTAAAACAAATTACAATTAATAAGAAGAAATAATGTGACAGTTTTGGTGATATGACTAATCTAAATCCAACTAAGCTTGTCTTAAAATCTTACAAAATTGAAAATTCAATAGAATATGCATCCCACCTAGCTCTGAGCTAAGTAGCTGATGACGTTTTACCAATCTTGATATAGACATATATGAACTACAGGTTAATAACCATAATGTAAATATAAACCCACATAGGACAATTCTTGACAATGTGAAATTTCATAGTGATTTTTCATAGCTGGAAGTGTAAGCCCATCTTCCAAAATGGAGTAATCTTGAAATTTTAATTAAATGAAATTTTGGTCACATGAAATGAAGCCATTCCTATATTCTGAAAGCTTTCTTTGAGGAAAAAAAATACTAAATGAAAAAAAGAAAAATAAAGAACTGCATTGCACCTGGTTCCAATTTACTTTCTTCTGAGACTAATGTGAGCACCTTGTCTTTTCAATTATAGATGACCAAGCTAATTAAAGGCCATAATCATCACAACAAATATAAAAGTCTCTATTCAGTTATTCTTTTAGATTCTTGTGTCATTTTATTTTCAATGATGTGGAAGTCTTTCCATTTGCAATGTCACAATCTAACTTAAATCATATTTCCCTGATCCATCGGAGTCATTATTTACGAGCTGGTATCTCAAGGGTCTATTCAGTTATTCTTTTGGATTCTTGTGTCATTTTATTTTCAATAATGTGGAAGTCTTTCCATTTGCAATGTCACAGTCTAACTTAAATGGTATTTCACTGATACATTGGTGTCATTATTTTTTTTTTTTTTGATAATTACATTGGTGTCATTATTTAAGAGCTGGTATCTCAAGGGTTTTGACAGAAGAGATAAAGTCATGGGATCTATGCTCTCATTCACAATAGTCTGGCCCATTTGCTTGAAAAGAAACTCTTTCATCCTGGAAAAGGGTAGTTGGGCACCCTCAAATATTTGCTCTCAGTGCAACAACAATTCAGGAATGCCACTTACTCTTCTTTTTTGCTTTTCTGCTTCTTATTAAATGTATGCTTTTGTTTTCTGTAATCTGACAGTACAGAGCCTTGATGTAGATGGGTCATAGTGTAATAGAACCCTTTTATACCCAAACTAATGAAAATCAGTACTTCATACCACTTTGGAAATATATATATATATATATATATATAAATTAAAAAAAATGAAAACCTTTATCTCTAGAAAATCATGTTTGTTCCCTTTTTCTGGTAGTGACAATACACCTGTGTTGTCATCTTACAAGAAAACAAATCAATACATAACAGAAGTTATACCCTTGCCAGAACGTTCAATTCATCATATTCCAGACCATGGTTTTCAAAACCGGACCAGACCGAACGGTCAGACCAGAAAACCGGGTGTGAACAGTTCCATTTTTCCCCAAAACTGGATTTTTCCCAAAAAACGTTGATTTTGGTCAGCAAACCACTGACCCGGGCGGTTCACTGTTTGAACAGTTTTGACCGTTTTTCAATTTTTTTAATTTTTTTGTCAGAACAGGCCAACCATTCGACCCGGGAACCGGACCCCTGACCGGTTCGTTCTCCGGGTCGGTTTTAAAAACCTTGTTCCAGACATTACAAATAACTTAACCATCTAACTGTCACTTCTAGCCTACAAAACACCTACATCACAAATGTGATAATTTTTTATTTTTCTGTACGAAAAGGCGCAGACTTTTACATAAACATTTACAAGGTCACACATCCACATGTTACCCTAGGGATCATCACAATGTATCAACTAAATAATAGGACATCTGCCCTCAATGCATATTTGTTCTTCTCATGTTTTGGAATTAATGGATGGACATTATGCCCATCAATTAGTTTCAAAAAGATTTCCAATTGCCAGAGTTTGGGAGCAATACTTGAGGATGTGAAAGGGCAAGCCCCTGTGTACTGTTTTGAGAAGAGGGAAGAAGAAAGCCAAAACTAGTTGCTGGTACCTCTCAGGAGGGTTTGATGAAAGGAGGAATTTTGAGAAGTCTGGTGGAGTGGCACTGACTAGAATGGTGTTAAAATAATTCTGCAGTTGTAAGTTCTTCCCATCTGTGATTATTTCCATACTAACAGGATCATGGCAAACAACCAATAACCAAAGGAATACCTTTTATAAGCACAGAAGATGTAACGAAGTATGAAATGCTCACCTAGTTAACCTGAATATCCAAATTATGATGGAAGAAAAGTTGAGGAGACCATGATCTTGACTTGTAGGAAGTAAGCTCAGTGATCTAAATATGTAATAACACTATTTTCCTGCCCTAGAAAGGGCCTGAGAAGACAAATACAGAAGATAGACACGATCTCTTACTCTCTAGTCTCTAACTCCTAACTAAGCCATAAACCAATTTTTGCATATATGTATAAACATGGAGATAGTAAGGAAATGTGGGGCAGAACACAATCGTCATGGATCAATTTTTGAGAGGAAAGAGGGGGAAAACGAAAAAACTGATTCAGAGTTCACAAGCTTGTGTTCTCACTGAAAAACTGCTGTGAGAGGAGCTGGTCAAGTCGGTGCTGGTGATGAAAAGGATAAGAAGGTTTCTGGTATTTTTAGGGTTTTTACCTTCTTTGAAGAATTTTAGGGTTTTTTGCTTCACTTAGGTTACTGAGTTATGTTCAAATGGAAAGGCAAGATGGTAATTGGAAACCTTTTGGAACTAACGGATGAACAAACATGTGAAGGGACAGATGTCCTGTTATCATAAAGTTCACACCAATGTTCACATAATAAAGTTAGAAGCAGATGTGGTTTCATTGGGTTAGTGATTAAACCCAGCAGACGTAACGAGATGGATGAAAACCCATTACTATTTGCAACCTTCAGTAATACATTCAAGCTTGGTGAGCTCCACTCCTACGTTCCTCCACTATTAAAAGTCCTCAATACTTTTTGAGGAAAGTTTAACCAAATTTCATTAAAAGGAGTACATGAGAAGATATACAAAACAGGGGAGAACCCCAAAGAGATTACAAAGGAGGAAGTTTATCACTATACAAATTTTCTAAGCAAGTGCCTAGTTTAGCTAAGCCATCCTCAATACTGACTCCACTAAATCCGGCCCATGCATCCTTTTCTTTCTTTCCCAAGAAGAAATGCAGTTAACCTGTTCACTGTAAAAGAAAGACTCAACAAAATTGATGTTGTCCAATAGTTGGGACCACTCCATAATTCTGATCATGGTGACCACAATAACATGAGGCTTAGGACTAACAACTATATGAGAATGCCTTTTAACTTGGTGTAAATGATGGTTAAATCTTGGGCTGAGAAGCATAATCTGGAAAAGTTCAAGATTTAGCTTGTTGGTTCAACAATTAACTATCCTTGGTTCATCCTGATAGGTTCAAGGATGAGAATGATGATGACAAGATAACATGTTTATCATTTGGGCTTGTGATTTGAGTCAAGACAACGAGCAGCAACTCTACAACTACGTTTTGCATGCACCCTACGTGTATCGAGCAGCTTATCTGGATTTTGTAACAACAAATGATCTTTGAGTGCGCATATCTGTTTTGAATTTAATGCTGAGACAAAGACAATGTTGATCAAGAACAGATAATGAGTAGAAGCAGGTGGGCTAGTATCGTGTATCGATGATGGCAAAAACAACTTACTTGTCTATTACTTAAGGAAGTAAAGTAATGTGTACCATGATGGAAAAAACAACTTGTTAATTCCCTACATTGTTCGTCTTTGTATAAAAAACGAATGGATAGTGAAGTTTGAGATGTAACAATCCAAACTCCAAAAAAATAAAATAAAATAAACCCTAACCAGTATTTTGAAACCACGTTAAGTGAGGAAATTAAACAACAATGTTCAACTCTTTTTTGAATCTCTGCAAAAAGGGGTCGGTGACGCCTCTATACAGAGAAGGAAGAAGAAGAAGAATGATGGAAAAAGAATGAGAATACCTGGTGGGTATGCTCTCCTTCGCTCGGGATTCTCGTTCAGAACTTGGCTTCGAGTGAAAAATAGGAGGTGTCAACTCTGAGTCTGTGACCCCTATGAACCTATCGAAAGCCCAACCGCCCGAAAAAACGAGAAGCTTCGATTGAGCTTCCAGGATTTTGTTACTCTCGGTCTTTCACAAGCTCTCTAAGGCCCACGTCTTTTGGGCTTCCGATCTTTCTAATGCCTAACGGGAAAAGACAGGTTTCCAATCTTTCAAGCTTGAAAGATGCCGCTGACAGACTTGCCAAACATGATCATCAATAATAGAGACCGGATCTTCTCCTCAGAGTGGGATGTGCTTGTAAAGTGCCTTATTGTCACGGGATTAATCGATAAGACCCCGTGTGGTGTTCGATGGGGTCGAGAAAACCTACAAATACAAGCAACAATACATAAAAGGCATCAAGAAGACACACAAATTAGACAAAAGACAACTTATATTGTATTAATCGATGATAAGCACAAGCATACATTTTAGTATTAAAGGATTCTCGTGTTTAACCCTTACACGCTTATGACTCACTTGACTACCTATCCCTTATGTCAGGAGCAAATCTCAATTCCCAATAAAATGAATTTGGATTGGTTCCACCGTAAAAGATACGGGCCCATGTATTTAATACTGACATGGAACCTTATCATAGGTTCCACAGCCGACAATAGGCTGTAAAATCAATAATGAGCAAGGTTTAGCTGTTCAACTGACTGTAGAACCAATGATGAGGTTCCACGCCAATATTAAATTCATGGCCCCACTATAAAAGGTACAAACCCATGTATTTAATATTGACGTAGAACCTTATCATTGATTCCACATTGGGCTGAACAACTTAAACGTTGCTAGAAGCATTCCTTTTTTTTCTACTTTGATATTGCAAAAAGGAGCCAATAAAAACCAATGTTCATAGAATGGGACAGGGCATTGACCTAGTAAAAGGCTAGAGGTTAAATGGGTCAAACCATGCTGATATAATAAAATTCAGAAAAATATTGAACATGAAGAAAATCAATTCAAAATAGAAATCACATTTCAAACTTTCAAAGTTTAAGAATCTCAATTCAAAAAAAAAAAACCATCACAGAGTCATTCAAGAATCTCAAGTCAAAAATTATAATGCATACATGATACAAGTATTCTAAACTTGGTTTCAAAATTTATAATGCATCCTTATCTCTGTAAATAAGGATGCAACAGTGGTTGATTGTTCGGAGAGGCAGAATGGACAATGGATCTAGAACCCCGAATTGATAAAAAAATTAATTGATTGAGAGGTGGCTAGCTTCTTTGGTCAGGTTGTTTCAAGTATTGTATGATTCAAAGATAGCTAGAATAGGGAAAGACGAGGAATTGGATCTTTGACATGATTTTTCTTACTGGGTTTGGAGGAATATGCCGAGTTTATTTGGGGATAAGATGTGCTTCTCGGCTGATGTGAAGGGATTTATAGTAGAACATTTTTTTATTTCTTTTGAAGGGCTGCACAACAGATGGGCCAAGTTTCCACTATGACTAGCAGGAGATCTTATCAACTCGTTAGTTGATACCTTGCAATTTATATTCCTTTTTTTATAAGGAATATATAGTTTTTCAAGGGTGGTTATATTGGTAAGATGGTTCTCTTTGTACAGCTCCTCATTGTACCGAGACTTATTTGTATTTTGGCTCTTTGATCTCAAGACTGTGTTTGGTCGCAGTGCAATTTTATTTGCACTAGTACAAATGCATGGGAATGCAAATTTTGGCTTAATTTTGTTTTCAGTTTTATTTAATTCTGCTTCAGGTCTTATTTTACCTCATTTGTATTGCAATCAAACAAAATAAAGTAAAATTTAAAATAAAAATAAATCATAATTTGCATCGAAATCATTTGTATTACTATGGTTTTGCATCAATGCAAATAAATTCACATTGCCACTAAACACAACCTAATGAAATATTTTACCTTATACTATCAAAAAAAAAAAACTTGGTTTCAATTTCCAACTATATCAGTATTAATTATCAAGTTTAAAGATTCTAAATCAATTCCAACAAATTAAATATTATAAAATTATAAATTAAACACAATTAATTATCCTAAATCCTAATATTTAATTATTTGATTTATTTATACAAAATTCAGAATTTTAGATTAATTGAGGTTTCAATTTCAATGTTTCAGGCTTTCAGGGGGCTTAGGCTAACCTGCAAGGCTAAACTATTAGGTGGACTGTTTTGTAGTCGAATTTGGTGGGCTGAAACGAAGATAAATTTCAAATTTGAGAAAACATGTAATCAATTTCGAATTTAGCATTTCAAAATAAATATTAAAAATTCTAAATAAAATAAGTTATAGATTGCAGATACAAGCCGTGGGGGGAGGAGGAGGAGGAGTACCTGGTTGGCGTTGAGAGAGAGAGAGAGTACCTGGTCGGCATCGTCGGCTACCGCTAATGGTGTCGGTGGCAACTGTGACTAGAGCAGTGGAGCTTGAAGGTGGCGTTCAGTGGAGGCTTGGAGTTGGAACAAAGAAAGAATGGGGGCGATTGGTCAAGGGTTTTGGGATTTTGGTTTCAGTTATTAGGACCTTAGGTTGTGTTTGAAAATGATGCAAACATGCAGAGTGCGTTCTGGTATATACAAAAGCAAAGTTGGGTTAGTTTTGATGCAAATACAAATGCAAATTTATTTTAGTTGTAATGGATGCAAACACGAATCCCATATAGAAATATACCTTTTCTAACATGAACCATTTTGAATTCAAATTTAATTCTTTTTTTTCATGTAAAATTACCTCTTATTTTAGATGTAAACATGCTTTGGAAATTGTATTTCTTGTCCTTGTCATTTGTCAATATACAAGTGCATTCTTGCCAAATGCCAACAAAACTGAACCAAAGTGCATATTTGCACAAAACTGACATTTACACCCTACTTGCACTGTTTCCAAAGGCAACCTTAGATTATGTTTGGTTGATTTTTGAATTTTTTTTGTCCTTTTGTGATAAAAGGTGGGGTGAAATAAAACCGGCCAGTTATGCAAAAGCAGGACCGGTTCATCGGTTCCCTGTTGAACCAGCCAGGTGAGCGATTTTTATGGTTTTTCTAATGAAGAGATTTTGGGGTATGTCCAAATCAGTTAAGGGTTCGAAACATGATTCAACTAGTTGGTCTTGAACATTGATAAAAACAATAAGATACAAAGTTAAAAACGTGATCAAATATATTTGTGAAAGTTGAGCTTAGATTATAATAGGTTTTAAGAGGACGGGAATAATGTCATTTTGGGCAGGATTTTAGATTGAGTTACGGTTGACTAGGTTGGGTTAAAGCCTTGAAGAGATACTAGATTAAGATTATGATCGGAGATTTAGAACCTTGGGGTGGATTAGGGTGGGCATGCGGTCTCTGCACCTGTGGGTTCACCGTCTGCCACGTTGATAGAGCGCGGACTCGGTAACGTTAACGTTATTTTGGCCGCCAACTGATGGTATCCGGTTCGGGGTAAAAATCCCAATTTTCATACTCATTTCGAACTCCCTCCCGATTTTCACCTAAACGAAGGGAACTCCCGAGCCCCTTCTTCCCGTCAACTGATAGTATCCGGTTCAACCGGACACAAAAAGGTAAAAACCCCGATTTTCATACTCATTTCGAACTCCCTCCCGATTTTCACCTAAACAAAGGGAACTCTCGAGACCCTTCTTCCCATCAACCAATGGTAAAAATCACGGTTTTCATACTCATTTCAAACTCCCTCCCGATTTTCACCTGAACGAAAGGAACTCCCGATTTTCACCTGAACTCTCTTCTCAACAGATCGAAGAGTAGAAGCGCAATGGACTCAGCTATGCTACAAGGGACGAAGTGGTGGCTAACCTTCTAGCTACCCGTAGCAATACCAGCGTCATTCTAACTTCATTGGACACCAAGAAGGCAAGAACCTCAACGCCACCTGACGAGGGCAGATTTGGCCCTCCAGTGACATTGTGACACCTGGCACCTCATGCAAACCAAGTGCAGCCTCTTGACAACTGGGCAGCTCGGCATAGCTCGCCACAGGCAGTTCGGTAGAGCCTGCCATAACTCGCCACAGGCAGCTCGGCATAGCTCACCACAGGCAGCTCAGCATAGCTCACCACAGGCAGCTCGGCAGAGCTCGCCACAAGCAGCTCGGCAGAGCTCAGGGAGCTCGGCATAGCTCCCCCCCAGGCAGCTCGCCACTTGTAGGGTAGCTCGGTACAGAAGAGCAGTTCGGCATATCATAGGAAGATCTCCTGCCTGACAACCGTACCTGATAGATCCGGAGACCTGCGCTCACGTCTCTTGTCAGGCGGCGCCGTGCCTGCCAGCCCTGAGAGTTGTCCCTTGACTGACAGAGCCGTACTCTGCAACAACCACCTACACCCGCCACCTCAGCTTTGGCAGTAACGGTTGCGGCAGAGAGACAGAGGCGGTTATGCCTAACTTGACAGAGGCTGTTACGCCTGATTTGACAGGACACCACTATATAAGGACTCCGACCCCCAAAGACAAAGGGGGAGAGAATGAAAAAATGGAGCTAATCCCTGCTTCCTAGCTCTCTCATTTCTCTAATATCATCTTCAAGCTCTCTACAATCAGAGTACTAACTTAGGCATCGGAGAGTCCCCGCCGGGTAAATACCCCCGGGCCCCCTGGTTCAGTTCTTGCAGGTTCCTCAGCTCCCGCCGTCTACAAAGAGGAGGAAAAGATGGAGTTCTCGTAGGTCCCCCAGCTCCCGCCACCTACAAAGGAGAGGAGATCACCTCATGCAGAGAGCAGTCGGGTTGCGCTACACCAGGGAGCTCCACCATCCTCTGAGTTACAGGCCGCCTAGGAGCAGGTCAAATGACGAGTCCACCAAGGTAGCTCACCACTAGGGAGCTCAGCATAGCTCTCCCCCGGGCAATTCGCCATCAGGGAGCTCGGCATAGCTCTCCCCTAGACAGTTAGCCATCAAGGAGCTCGGCATAGCTCTCCTCAGCTCGACATAGCTCGGGCAGCTTGGCATAGCTCTCTCCCAGGCAGTTCACCACCAGGGAGCTCCACCATCCTCTCCTGGGAGCAGGTCAAATGACGAGGTACTTAG